GGGGAAAATGAGGAGCTGATGCCAGGGGCTTAAGTGGAGAGCAAATGTTTTGAGAATGATGAGGGTAATGAATGTACAAATGTGCTTTGCACAATTGATGTATGTGTGGATTATGAGAAGAGTTGTATGAGCCCCCAACAAAATGATTAAAAAAAAACAGAACATCAAATAAAATCAGCAGAATACAAAAAAACAAACAAAAACACAATGGATTCATAGTGAAATTCTAAATATTCTTTGAGAAATATACAGACTACATTAAAAAGTCTCAGATCAGTCTCACTTTGTCATTTCTTTTAGATTTTTGTCCACATAACATCAAACCATTAAAGGAGGTGAAAGTATTAACTCACCTAATAAATCTGTAAGCTATAACCTATTGTTCTCCATTTCCTGCCTTACAAGCAACATCCACTTGCCATAAGAATGCCAGGTTGTTAGAACAAAGTGTTTTTCCTTCAGGCAGGGCTTGAGCAGAGGCCCAAAGTCTGTCCACTACCTCAATGTATTGCCATATAAATATCTGTACATACACCAATACCTCTATTTTCATGAATTAATGTGTTTACATAAATACACTCCTATGTTTATACCTCTATCCATAGCCCTGCTTCCTAGTTCATTCCTGTTTCCTTTTACCTTCCTCCTGCCCCACCATCACACTCACCTTCCTCTTCAGAATTACTAAACTAGATTGCTGGGTTGCTAGATTGCTGTTGCTCCAACACCCCCAGGATCTCTGCGTCCCCCTCCTTGTGAACTTTAATTCCCTGGTTGTTGCCCTGCCATGGCATTGTTTTCTCCCTTCTCCCTTCCCCCTCCTCCCAAACACCCCCCCCAAATCCCCCCAGAACCGTGGGTTCCTGGCTTTCACCTCGAGCTTGCCTCCCAGGCCTGTCTTCTATAGATAGACAAACCAACAATAACAGAGACAAAACAAAAGATGGAATGAAAAGAGAAAAAGAAAATAAATAATAACTAGCAAAAAGAAAAAACTTACATAATTCCAGGTCTGTCCTCTGACCTTAATGACTATCTCCCCACAGTTCCCG